AGTGGAAAACTCGAACACGAAATTCTGAACAATTAATTAATAATTTAAATCAACAAATTTTTGTGCTACAGAATAATATAGCAAACATAGCAACTTTACAAGATGTTATGTCTTCATTATTCCCATTAATTGCTCAAATTCCCCAATATATAGGTCAAGAACCCCCAGATGAATATTATAATAAAGTAGTACAAGTATTTGCATATGGAGGCACACTAGCAGTTGTTGGATTTAACAACGGTGTAAAAGCTGAAATTTTAAAATCCAAAATGTCTAGTAAGTATACTTCTATTCCACCCCAATACTCTGCTGGTACAGCTATTGATACTCCAGCACGATTCTTCGCTTGGTTGCGACATAAATATCATAAAGAAACAATAGGTTCTCGCAATGCCTCTTTATCCAGATTAGCTCAAGAAAAATTTAATCCTACTGATACTCTCCAAACCTATGAAGATATAATTCGTCTTTTATTGTTACAAACACCAAATAATAACCAGGATGCATTGGCTATATTATGGACTCACTTACCTGATGAATTATTTACAAGAGTTAAAATCACAAACCCAGCAGATATAAATGCATTCTTTACTGCTGTTAAAGATACATGGCTTGAGCGAAAACCTTCTACCTTTACATATAATGGAGTTAATAACAATTCATCAGTTCCTATAATTTTATCTAATACAATATCTAGTGAAAATTTAACTATATATAAAAAAGACTTAGATCATTTAGATTTTACTGCACAAAGATTAGGTTATCCTGATGATGCATCTCGTGATCCTGATGTTCTGAACAACTTTATTGAAAAAGAATTGTATAAAAGATTAGACTATGCGAATTATAATATTCAATCAAAAAAATTGTATGCACAAAGAAACCTTTAACTAAAAAATCATCAAAATCGAATAAAAAATTAATAGCAAGATATTGTTCTATGTGTGAAAAAGCTGGGCATACAAAAACGAATTGCTCTAAGTTTAAAAAGTTAATAATATCAGTAGCTCTCAATACATAGACCAAAGCCAATCAGAAGATGATATAAATAATGAAAGCACTCAAGAAGAAAGTAGCCAAGAAGAAAGTGACCAAGAAATTAGCGAAATTGAATCCAGAGAAACCAATTGCTTTAATATAAAAAAAAAAATGGGGTTTCTAAGTCTTCTATAAAAAAGAAA